TCTGTCTGTTTTAGTATATGGGTCATAAGACGTATGGTTTTAGTGTCTTACATTGTCAACACCCGGAAATGACTCACAAAACTGGTTTTGAAAAAATCTTTTGCATGTTTAACTCTCTGTCAAATATTAACATGCTGAAACGTACACCCCCACCCCCACCCCCACCCCCACCCCCACCCCAGCCGTCACCCCACAACACCCACCCATCCCGTTCCTAAAGCAAGTATTCTCCTTCCATTCTCCCCTTCCATTCTCTCCCTCCAGGTAGACCTTACAGGAGTTCGTCTCAGGTCAAGTTCCCAGAACCGCCCCTCAGTCCCCATATGAGCTGTATTAGAGGGGTCTGGATCGGATTATTCCCCCGTGAATCCCGTGGGACATGCACCTCTGGTGAGGCAGGGGATTACCCCCACCCCCTATCTGTCTCCGCGTGTGATCCTCATTTGACAGATCTGATTCTTCCGGTCGCAATGATTCCTGGGAACGAAAAGCCTCATCAACGACTAGCTACATCAACAACATGTATGGCGCCGGGAGATGGTGCGCGCAGTTGTCGACAGTTTTGCGTCCCAGTGTGAAGCAATTTGTTCCCTGTCGAAGTGTTGCTGGAATAAAATACAAGGTGTAAAATGGCACATCATTTTTTTAAAAAGAAAGAGAAAAAAAATAAAATAAAATACTAAAGGCATTAAAGTAAATGCATTGAATTATCATTGTATCAATTGTTCTATTCATGAAATTAATGCGTCCTCAAATGAATGCGAGTGTCAACCCCCTAGCCAATAATGCGTCATGAAATGAGTGTATGTCTAAGTAGTATAGTATAGTATAGTATAGTATAGTATAGTATAGTATAGTATAGTATAGTATAGTATAGCATAGTATAGTATAGTATAGTGCCGTAAAAGGTGACTATGCTTGTCGTAAAAGGCGACTAACGGGATCGGGTGGTCAGGCTCGCTGACTTGGTTGATGCATGTCATCGATTCCAATTGCGTGGATCGATGCTCATGATATTAATCACTGGATTGTCTGGTCCAGACTCGATTATTTACAGAGCGCCGTCATAAAACTGGAATACTGCTGAGTGCGGCGTTAAACAACAAACCAACCAACTAGATAGATAGTATAGTATACAGTCGGATGACAACACTACTGGATCTAGTCGGACCATGATAACACTACTGGATCTAGTCGGACCATGATAACACTATTGGATCTAGTCGAACCATGACAACACTACTGGATCTAGTCGGACCATGATAACACTACTGGATCTAGTCGGACCACGATAACACTACTGGATCTAGTCGGACCATGATAACGCTACTGGATCTGATCGGACCATGATAACACTACTGGATCTAGTCGGACCATGATAACACTACTGGATCTAGTTGGACCATGATAACACTTCTGAATCTAGTCGGACCATGATAACACTACTGGATCTAGTCGGACCATGATAGCACTACTGGATCTAGTCGGACCATGATAACACTTCTGGATCTAGTCGGACTATGATAATACTTCTGGATCTAGTCGGACCATGATAACACTACTGGATCACGCCGAACACCGGGTATTCCCAATCCCCATATTGATGATACAAGCTGTGAAGCCCGACCTGTAGCTGTAGAGTGAATGGGCGGGTCAGAGTCCCATTCGTGACCAACTCGTGTTATTCCGGGACAAGCCGGATAGCGAATCGTGCCCCTCTCATGACAATCTTTGCGACTGGGTTCCGTCTTAGCGCAAACGGGCATACCTAAAACAATTGTCAACTCGTTGTAATATGGTTGTCATATATTTCCCCATATATTACATATATTTCAGATGCAATTTAAAGCACATCAGGACTTGCGGAATTATACAGTATGATTGAACACATTTAACTGTATTTTGGGTATATATTGAGATGCAAGACATATGTAAAATCAAAAATTATTGCTGAGGGATTCTTTGACGAAGAACTTGAAATCATACGCGCTTTTTGATTGGTTTGTCGTATTTTCGCACATAACATTCATCGATAGGGGGACGGGTCTTCTTTCAGGTTACGGAAAGAGGCGAGTGGTGACGAATGTCAGAGTCCATGCTCCTTAAACATACACATATCGCCTTAAACACAACATTTGCTCATTATTATACTGACTTTATTTCCTCGAATTGTAATGACGTGACATCGAACTTTATTCATTGAAGAGAGTGAGTGGGTTGGAGTTTAAGGCCGCTTTGAACATTATTTAGAAGTATCACGGCGTGTTAGTTCAATGTGAGAAGAATCTCAAAGTGGAGCAGGGCCCCGTTCCTCAAAGCGATCTTAGCACTACGATGATCGTAAGCCTATGTTAAAGTATGGGACTTACGATCACCTTAGCGCTAAGATCGCTTTGAGGAACGGGACCCATGTCTTAAACATTTACCATTTTGGTGGTACCAGGCAGGTGGGGAATGGTACTTACAAACCATGGATCAATATCAGGACGAATCAAGGAATCGGACTAAGAACCAGCGGATCCTGCCACAACTAAGGGAGCAACTCTCTCCCATCCTTACCCACAGTTGAAAAGAGTTTCCAAGTTGAGACTATAATATGTAAACATATGAATGGTGAGACACCTGACATTGTTGGAACACCTCAAAAGTGAGGTCTCTAATTACAACATCGGTGCAATTACATCACCCGACCATTCTTTAAAAGCAAGATAGCTTTAATTGTTTTTCAATCAGCATTCAATACGGGCTATTTTTTCTTTGCTTATAATGTTTTTATAACGGTTATTTTATTGAAAACGTGCTCAAGATGAGTAGTCTTCATGGACGAGGAAAGCGGTGGGATGGAGGTTTGAATGGGGTGGGAATCGGGTGGGGCGGGGCTCTCCTTACATGTATTAACGTTACCTGTGTGTCACGGTCACGCGTTACAGTTGCAGGGTGGTGCGACGTTCTTGTGTACCGATCGTCTCGGTGTCACGATGTACGTGACTGCATTGACGACACACACGTTCCGCGTCGCTGTCAACGTCCCCCAAAACTGATACAGTAGCGTCTGCCTTTGTCCCCCAGGCTGACACTATTGAGTGTCCTCTAGCCTTGTAGCTTGTCACCTGTGGACCCCGGTGTAGATATCCCCTCGAGGAACACACTGGACATACCTATATGTGTATACTTTACATCGGGAGTCAACAATCACTGACCGCTATCTGGAGCCCTGGCTGACCAACACGTACATTGTAACGGTGTGTTTATAATAAATTCTGTAGTCCATCCATGTCAGCATTGTGACGGACATGAGATGCAGGCCACGTGTTATAACGGTGCTAAAATAACAGTATCACTAGAAGCGGGTTGAACAAGGCGTACCGTGTATTAAACTGTTATCAGAATGATAATAATAATAGTCATGTAAGATATACATGCATACGAAGAAAGGTACACTGACTATAATATAGAGTAGTATTGATGACAGTAAGAATAACTGTAGAAGAAATAGGCGAAGTAATAGAAGTGGTAGTAGTAAAGTAGTAGCAATAATAATAATAATAATAATAAGAAGAAGAAGAAGAAGAAGAAGAAGAAGAAGAATGAGGAGGAGCAGCAGCAGCAGCAGTAAAATGAGTTGTATTTATATTGTTAAAAGTTATGTTCATTTTCAAAAAAAAGTTGACCAGTAAAATGTTTTAAAGTTACCTATAAATGTAAAAGTAGTTGTGAAATGTGTATATGATAAGCGTCTGACGTCATCTGAGTATTCGGACGATCTATAATAATGATTATATGACCACAAGTATCTCGAACCTTTTCTAACCCAATTCTCTGTATTTCCTGTATACAGTTCTGTTTTACCTCTGTTAAAAAGCGAATTATTATCAGGGTGGCCCAGTCCCCGCAATTCGCTGTGCAGAGTTGCGTCCCCTGGGCACGCCAGAAACCTGTGATTGTGGGTTCGAATCCCGATTCGCCCCGATTATGTTTATAGGTTTGTCAGCACCATACCCGTGCTCGTGGGTTTCACCGAAGTGGTAAACGTATGAGACTTAATCACTTCGGGCTTTCCTCCCACATTAAGCTGACACGCCGCGATATTACTGGAAAACTGTTCAAAGCGGCGTTAAACCCAACTCACTCACTTGTGTCTGATCGCGTCTGTCTATGGACACATGTTAAAACGAAGACAGTGTTGAGTACATGCCGACACCATATTCCGCGGGTCACCACGACGGCTTGACGAGCTGTCCCCCAAACAATAATAATAACAGGTTTCAGTTTGCCTTTTTATCAATAAACAACAAAACTATTAAGATGTCAAAGTAAACTAAAATCATATTAACATGACGCTGAATGTGTGTCAATGAACCGTTCTAATGGATTAAACGCATAATGACATATCATTACCTTCAAATTAACTCAATAATTTCATTTAAATTCTTTCAAAAGCAAATAATTATGGATTTTAATGAAAAATTAAATCTATGACAACCGCTTTTCAAGTGCACTGAGCTACCATCACAATTACACAGCCAAACTGGCAACGCTGATCGGGACTGTGAAGACAACGAGCTTAAGACGTTACTTCATTACTGCCATCGAGACCCCTCTGTTGAACTGTGAGGTATTGTATTGACACCGGTGTCAGGAGACAATGTATTCTTCTACCTGCCATACCTAATGAACTTGAGGCTAAGCGATCTTCCGTTTAGTATTGGCCGCCCCCATTGTGTCACTGATGGCATGTCTCGGCTCTAGATGGGGCCAAATAGCGCCACTGTTTGTATGCACATCTGATGCGCTGCCCTCATTAAGCACCGCTTCCATTTAAGATCGATGGGTGAGGGTCTGGGGGTCAGGAACAAGAGGCGGGTGGGATGGACAGGTGTATCGAGATATTCCTGAAAATTGAGTTAATGTTATAGGGAAAGATTATTAAGTTAATTTGGCAGGTTTTAATCTGGTAATTATGTCAATGCTGTGGGGGTCAAGTGGGGATGTGAGGGTGGTCACGGTGCAGGTGAGGGGTACGGGCGAGGGGTGAGGATGAGGGTGTGCGGTATAATGCGGATTGGGATAAAGAGGTGAGGGTCGTGGATGCGGACGAGGGTTGAGGATGAGGGGTTAGTATCATGGGTGGGGGCGAGGGGTGGGGATGAGGAGTTAGTATCATGGGTGCGAACGAGGGGTGGGGATGAGGAGTTAGTATCATGGGTGCGGACGAGGGGTGGGGATGAGGGGTTAGTATCATGGGTGCGGACGAGGGGTGGGGATGAGGGGTTAGTATCATGGGTGCGAACGAGGGGTGGGGATGAGGGGTTAGTATCATGGGAGCGGACGAGGGGTGGGGATGAGGGGTTAGTATCATGGGAGCGGACGAGGGGTGGGGATGAGGGGTTAGTATCATGGGAGCGGACGAGGGGTGGGGATGAGGGGTTAGTATCATGGGCGCGGACGAGGGGTGGGGATGAGGGGTTGGTATCATGTGTGCGAACGAGGGGTGGGGATGAGGGGTTAGTATCATGGGAGCGGACGAGGGGTGGGGATGAGGGGTTAGTATCATGGGAGCGGACGAGGGGTGGGGATGAGGGGTTAGTATCATGGGTGCGAACGAGGGGTGGGGATGAGGGGTTAGTATCATGGGACCGGACGAGGGGTGGGGATGAGGGGTTAGTATCATGGGAGCGGACGAGGGGTGGGGATGAGGGGTTGGTATCATGGGCGCGGACGAGGGGTGGGGATGAGGGGTTGGTATCTTGGGTGCGGACGAGGGGTGGGGATGAGGGGTTGGTATCATGGGTGCGGACGAGGGGTGGGGATGAGGGGTTGGTATCATGGGTGCGGACGAGGGGTGGGGATGAGGGGTTGGTATCTTGGGTGCGGACGAGGGGTGGGGATGAGGGGTTGGTATCATGGGTGCTGACGAGGGGTGGGGATGAGGGGTTGGTATCTTGGGTGCGGACGAGGGGTGGGGATGAGGGGTTGGTATCATGGGAGCGGACGAGGGGTGGGGATGAGGGGTTGGTATCTTGGGTGCGGACGAGGGGTGGGGATGAGGGGTTGGTATCATGGGTGCGGAAGAGGGGTGGGGATGAGGGGTTGGTATCATGGGTGCGGACGAGGGTTGGGGATGAGGGGTTGGTATCATGGGTGCGGAAGAGGGGTGGGGATGAGGGGTTGGTATCATGGGTGCGGACGAGGGTTGGGGATGAGGGGTTGGTATCATGGGTGCGGAAGAGGGGTGGGGATGAGGGGTTGGTATCTTGGGTGCGGACGAGGGGTGGGGATGAGGGGTTAGTATCATGGGTGCGGACGAGGGGTGGGGATGAGGGGTTGGTATCATGTGTGCGGACGAGGGGTGGGGATGAGGGGTTGGTATCATGTGTACGGACGAGGGGATGGGATGAGGGGTTGGTATCATGTGTGCGGACGAGGGGATGGGATGAGGGGTTGGTATCATGGGTACGGACGAGGGGTGGGGATGAGGGGTTGGTATCATGGGTACGGACGAGGGGATGGGATGAGGGGTTGGTATCATGTGTGCGGACGAGGGGTGGGGATGAGGGGTTGGTATCATGGGTGGGGACGAGGGGTGGGGATGAGGGGATAGTATCATTGGTGCGGAAGAAGGGTGGGAATGAGGGGTTAGGGTAATGGGTGCAGACGAGGTGTGAGGTTCATGGTACGGACGAGGGGTAGGGATGAGAGGTGAGGGTCATGAGTGCGGGAGGCGTGTGGGGGTCTGGACGAGGGCGAGAGTCATGAGATCGGTCGCGGGTGGGTGTAAGGGCGAGGTTACGGACTCGGGAGGGTTGTTTCAGAGATGAATAATTTGTTTATTGTGTTAATGAAAGCATCGGGGGCGGTCGGGTATCCTAGTGGTTAAAGCGTTCGCTCGTCACGCAGAAGACCCGGGTTCGATTCCCGACATGGGTACAATGTGTGAAGCCCATTTCTGGTGTCCCCCGCCGTGATATTGCTGGAATATTGCTAAAAGCGGCGTAAAACCATACTCACTCACTGATGAAAGCATCGAGGTCTTTAAGTCATTTGCAATGGCACAAGAGTATTGTCTGTGTCGATATTGCGATGGGGTTTGGTGTGCCATGGAATGATGTAGCGACACCTTGGGGTAGCATGTGGGGTGGTGGTGCTTATGGAGCTAGGGTATGGTGGTGGGGTGGGGTATGGTGTAGAGGATTTAGATATGCCTTAAATACCTAGGCATGAAATTGGAAATGGTTAGATGGACACAAATTGGCCACTACCTTAAAAAGCTTTTATTTAATGATAACGGTCGACATGAAGAAAATTGGAATATTAAGGGAGTAATCGTTCATCCACATGCACCATGTCCCCGCATGTGAAACTAAAAGGTCGTGAGCGAGATGACTCCATGGCGACCTCCTCAACCCCCAGCCATTGAAAGATACCACAATATTAAACGATTCTTTTTCCGGAATGAAATCACGTAACACAACCCAGGCCGGTAATACCTCGCCATAGAGAGTTAATCGCGGGTAGGAAATATAATCAAAGGATGTGTAATTTGTTCCCATGGGGCACGCGACTAGGCAGCAGACGACATGACCTGTGTACCAGACGACATCTTGTCTATACTGTCAGTTCAGTTCAGTTTATTTCTCTGAATAACCACCAACGGTGATCTCAGGATCTACACGGAGAACGTGGGGCAGGGGTTGGGGTTGTCAGGTCAGCTAGAACCACTAGGGCGTGGGGTGGGGGTTTGTGGGTGGGGGTCAAGGTAAGGATTGGATTTGATAGGCATAGATGAAGTGAGCGAGACGTTTGAGTACAAATGTCTCACGACTAAGGTATTAGAAAGAAATGGTGAGAAGCAGTCGTGGTAAATGGATCTATTAAGATGTTGGGAGTAGGTTGAAGGAGGGGTAGGGGTGGGGGTGGGGTAGGGGGGGGGGTGGACGTGTTGTATGTGTGGGGTGCGGCATTTGGGTGTTGCTGGTTGTTGATAATCGGGTGTGGGTGCAGGCTGTAGGGGGTGACGCTATGTCATGTGTGGTCAGTGTGGGGTGAGGAATTTGGTGATCTGGGGTTGTTGGGGGTGTTGGACGCAGGATGTAGGGGGTGAAAGTAATGGAATGTGTCGTGTGTAAGGGCTGTGTGTTTTGGTTTGAGGATGGGGTGCGGGATTTGAGTGGTTAGGGGTTATTGGGGGTGTAGGACGCAGGTTTTAGGAGGTGAGCGTATAGGATTTGTCGTGTCTGCCGTTTGGGAGGTGTGGGAGGTGGGGTGCGGAATTTGAGTAGTCAAGGCTTTTTGGGGGTGTAAGGCGCGGGTTGTAGGGGTGAGGGTAATGGGATGTGTGTGTGTGTGTGCTAGTGTGTGTGTGTGTGTGTGTGTGTTCGGGGGGGGGGGGGGGGGGGGAGTGGTAGTGCGGGATTTGGTCGTTGGGAGGGGTGTAGGGTATGGGATGTGTCCTTTATGCGGGGTGCTGGATTTGGGTGCTCAAACCGGGTTGTTGGGGGAGTAGGGCGCAGGTTATAGGGTGTGAGGGTATGGTATGTATCGTGTGTGAGTTGTATTTCTTCCGTATATATAGACACAGATATATAAATGAATATGGATAGATACAAACATATTTATAAATAAGGTTTTGTGATAATACAAATACACGTTCTGGGGATATTTAAAGATATATTCGTCGTTCTGTGGAGATGCACGGGGGAAGAATCTGGCGACAGTGTCTCGTTCTATGACCCCGGGGTCAGCTGCAGTCTAACGGTTGACATGCCACAGTTAAACAACATAAAAGAAATTCATGCAAACATCAGGTTTAAATGCTGCCGTATGACCCAATGTGTTGAATTGATGACATGAAAATGATACTCATATCTAGTGTTTCGTCTTTAGTGTGGTCAATAAAACGTCAGAATGACATTTGATTGTAGCATTATCCGGCTGATTATTATCATTATGTCCATGTGTGTCATTTAACGACATTTGATCACCGACACTGGGAATGCTAGCACATATAGGAAATAACCCCCCATTGTGATGTGCGTGTAGGTCGCCTGTGAAGGTATAAGATGCGGGGTTAAGACTACTCTCTTCCCCAACCCTAGAATCACACAATTTCCACGGCATCGTATCCACGGGAAAACCTTATAATTGCGAGCATATTAGGTTTTCTGTCTTTCGAGTAATACCAGTAATTACTCTTTAGTGTGAAAGCACGTCTTATCGACACGCTATTATCTCGCGTTGAAATCTATCCCCAGGTCCGTAGACGGGGGATTCGGGAGGGAGGGGATCCTCGACTGGCTTCATCAAGTCAGGCGAATGATGCGGACCGACACCATCTCCCAGTCCCCTGCTTCCAACCCTTCGAACAGTTCCGTCCACAATATCTAAAACACGACTGAGCATGCGCCAGTGAGCACGTGACATGTTGAACACGGACAGCACGTGCAATTATTGTCTGGACAACCAGATCAGTGGTCATTGAGTTTTTCCAAGACGCCATTGTCTGGACTTGAGCTCAAAGTGCCCGGATATCACTGCGATGTATGTCCGGTCGTCCCTCTTGGCTATCAACGTAATGGCTAATCCCTAACTTATCATCAGTCAACCTACATCAATTATTGCAATTTCCATGAAGTCAACGATTTCACAGGCATTTAAATGCCTGTACGCTGGAGCAAGTTCAAGTCAATATTGTCAGCCTATACGACCTCACTATAAATGCACTTAATGGATAGCGTTAGTCCGTCCGCTACACTCACCTTTACCCTGACATTAAAAAGGCATATATCTTGTGACTGTATTGAGGGAATGTCCCCAGTGTTTCAACTTCCCCATTCCTTTACTCGGGGTCATGCAAGCGTGTCATGGCGTTATTCTCACCCCTCCTCTTCCCGCTCTGCATCGGCGGCCCAGCCAAGCTCATCCACTTGTCATTTTAAAAGCCCGTCAGAACGGATGCTGATTATTGTTGAACATTAAAAGACTCGTCATATTCCTCTGCATCTGTAGTTTGTAACCACCAGGCCGTGGGTGGACGACAAACGGGCGGATATATGTCCCATTGCCGTCCGTATTCAAGCCACACAGTGACACTTGTCATGGCCTCACTGGCGCATCTAACTGTAGGCTCCTCATGCTTAATAGTCAGAATCAAACAAAATTGCTGTATTATAACAAATATGGGAAAAAAGTATCCATAATTATATCTATTATTGCCGCTGGGTATCTGTTTCAGGCAGGAAATCCGGTAGATTGAGGGTAATTTGCTCAAAGAAGTGATTTAGGCACTTTTATTGAACAGGCTTTTCTCGGCAACCTGGCGGGGGTATCCTTTAGGGGTTCCACGACATGGGCTTGTTTAATACCCCGTTACACCCACAAACCTAGGGTGTATCTTGTCCCCTCCTCATGGACACACGGGGTAAGGCAGTACATGGACGGAACCGTGATAATTCCGGTACTCCCTGACAGCAAAACTGAACTTCAGCCGTGGGAACGGCGTTATTTTGTAGACGGGTTATTTCCCGGATGCAAGGTTCACAGAAATTGTCATGTGTTATTGAAAAACAAAATTGATTTTAATAGAAATGGTTTTCACAATGTTTTCTGTTTTTTGAGTCTCTGTGTTGATGGTGGAAAGTTTGTTCACTGATGTCAATACTGACGGTTCCATGAACACCATATTGTCTCATTAAAGTGGCTGGTGCTAAAAATATGTATATCAACACAAGAGTGGGATGCACTGATACACGAATAAACTATGCACTGGTATTGGTATTCGGAATAATTGTATTTATCAATAAACCACCATCGGTGGTATAAGAGCAGAACAAAGTGCAAATAAACAATATATGTTCATCAAGGCATTAAATGAAGTCGATATAAATTCAGACAGGCATTTCACTTCTTTTAACTTCGTAGTTGTTATCAAACGTTTAAATGGATATACATTAGAACATACAAGATATTTCTCAGGTAGAAGTGACAATCTTTTATCAACAAAGGTTTCACATCGGAATACATAATGGAACTCGTCGGCAACTGATGGAGAATTACAAAGTGTACATAAACGTTGATCTTTAGGGATATTATTCCATGGGTCAGACTCAACGGGTAGGTTGTGTTTTGTTGTTTGAAATTATATAAGCTGATATGCTATAGATTTGGGTAGAAGAAGATTGGGCTTCTCCATGTCTGGAAGAATTGGTCTGTCAGTACTCTATCTACTGTTGAGACTAGCCACTGTGTATTAAGGTA